AAAAAGGGGTTGGGTCCCGGGCCCTAGGAAAGCTGTCAGCTGACCTGTTTGCAAATATAACTAATCTATCGTGACTGCAAAGGGATTTGGTTCCTTATCAAAGAGTAACCTAATAAGGTTCCTGATTTATTTCCATTTCTAAATTAGTTAAGTATAATAATGTGTAAGAAAACATTGTTTTATTTAGCCAATATATAATTCAATTGCCACAATGAAAGGTAAAGCTTAAGTGGAAAATTATAATCAATGGAACTAAAGTCCTGAAAAGCAAGTCTCTGGGTAAGATTTATTAAATATGACAGTGGAGCTATGAGTGGTTAGTCTAGCTTCCAGTGGGAAGCCAGTTCAGCTCTACTGAATCTAGAAAAACAAAACTCAAAAACAGTTTCTTTCTTAAGGTGTGTTCACACTAAATGTGAAACCTACGAACATGTTGCCAGGTTCTGGCCAGGAAAAACCTCTCCCACCGCAGGCGAATTCACCCAGTGTGAGAAAGGCTCCTACATCATGGAGTCTGCTGGTCGCTGGTTTCACCTCATCATGGCGGACATTGATTCACAAAGCTACTGGTGCTATTTTTTTACTTTAAAAATCTGAACAAAGCTGTAGGCGTTCCTCAGTTCACCAGGTTTATATTAATGTATTATAAGATTATTTTTCACAAATATTATATATTTATATAGTATATTATTATTATTATTGAGTATTTTGATAGGATTATAAACTGTAGGGGAACATTTGTTGTTATGTAATTTACAAAAGAGAGTAAAGTTATTATTTTGTTTTTTAAAATTAATTTTATGTTAATTTTTTTTTTCGTCATTGTCAAGAATTTTTTTGTCTTGATGATGAATGTTAAATTTATGTTGTGCATAGCTAAAGGCTTTTTGTCCTTATAAGGTTGTTTAAACTTTTTCCAAAACTCTCTTTCAAACAGTTTTTTTTTAATGATTATTTATGCCTATGTGAACATTTGTTCTTTAATCAGGTCAACCTAAATATAAAAAAAGGTTCTGAAGTTCATTCACAGGTGAGCGTTCAAATGTCTCTAACTTCGCCAAACCTGGCCGTTCGGCTCCTTAAATTCATCACCTTCACTTCGCTTAGTTTCGCTCCAGATCCGCTCCAGATCCGCCCGCTACATACTGTAGAGATAACATGGCAATCCTTGGCTCCAGCTGTGAAATCTGTGTTCGGGATGAACGTAGCTTTAGAACTGTGAAGTCAATGCAGCATGTAGGCCTAAACAGTCCTCTTCATTATCAATGTCCATTTATAGGCTGCTCTAGAACAAAGTGCATTTAATGTAAATATATCGTACTATGTCCTTTTGTACTTCACAAGTCCTTTATGATAAGACACTTAAGTGTTTCTAATCTTTTCTTTGTTTTAATTATGTGCATTCTGAGCTCAATGGCTCAATGGGAACTTCATTATTGGACGTTAATAATAATAATAATAATAATAATAATTATTGAACTTTATTGATCTCACATTGGTGAAATGTACCTCTGCATTTAACTCATCCCCTTAGGGAGCAGTGGACTGCCATAGTGCGGCACCTGGGGAGCAGTGTGGGTCAAGGTCCTTTGCTCAGGGACTTAGAGTGGCAGTCTGTTTTTGCGACACCTGGATTGCATATTCAGTCAAACTAATAGATGTCAAAATGGCCTGCCATACACGTCAGCAGCCGTTCTTCTGCCAGATTCACAATTTCAAGTGACTTTATGGCCACGCTGACAAGATACTGTGTTTTTGTGGGTCGTGCGTGATAACCACTGCACCATCGAATGACAATAAAGATTTCTGATTTGTGGGAGATGGACGTTCAAATCATGCAACCCCTCCCACTTGAATTAATTTCCAGAAAACACATTTTCTAATTGGCCACTGTCTTCCCCCGCCTCGCCTTTGCAGGCACCCCTGTCTAAGAGCTCTGGTCTCTCTATTTTTTCTTCTCTTTTCTCCTCTTGTTTCAGCTCCACCATTCTAACCCTTCACTCATCCTATATGCACTTGTTTAGTATCTTTAATTTGCCCCCATTAGAGAGTTCTGGATCTGTCAAACAACCATCCCAGTGAATGCTTATCCTCGTGTAGCTGTGTAACTGTAGCCGTGGGAGAAATTAAGCTGTAATTAAGCTATTGATTATCCTGTGCTAACTGCATTAGCTGTTAGTGCAGACAAACCAATCAGCTTCTGTGAACTCTACACAGGTTCCACAAATTAAAACTCTTCCTGTTTCGTTACTTTTACGAAAGCAGGGTTCATTTTTCTAACCCTGCTACGGAAATCCGCCGCAGTCCTAATCAGTCCAAATGGGTTCAGTCACCGTGTCTAATGAGCAGAACTTTTTCCAAAGCTGCGATGGAAAATCCAATCCTTTTCCGCTGTATTCTGCTTTGTCCCGCGGATTGGTCAGCGGACATCATTCACTATATTTACCTTCATCCTGTTCATCTAAAAACATTACATATCTGTGCACCTGATGCAGACTTAAGAGTGAAGTATTAAAAGCTGATGTTCATGACAAGAAAGGAGGCTTTTTTTTGCAAAAAAAAAGAAAAATTATTACAAAATTATTCATGTGAAGACTGATGAGGCTTTAGTCTCATTCCTAACTTTAACTTTTTCTCTCCTTATGAAGAAAATCATATCTTAATGGCATAAACTTCCTCTACTTTTGTCTGCCTCAGGGGTTTTGCAACCTAATTATCAGAGAAATTTAATCTTATTTTGCATTTTCAGGAAAACTACTGTTGCTTTAACTCAAACTAGGGAAACTTCCACCTTTTAGATATTGAAAGTTACTAGAAGCATCAGTATAAACAGGCGAATCCAAACCAAACAGGCTGTTTTGATATAGCACCAAAAACCATCCAGAAGGCCTGATTAAACATTTCAAAGGAAACCCAGGAGATTTCAGCTATCCCTCACAGTGAACATGCATGCAGTGACAATGGAGAGGTAAAACTCCCCTTTAACAAGCCTATGTATATGCAAACCACACCTTTCAGTAGTGGGTATAAAAAAAAAAATTAAAATTGAAATTCAAAATCATTACTCTTGATCTTATTATTATTGAAACACGTTCTATTTTCATTCTACTTCGCAGCTTTTTGACAAAGTATCACACAAAATCCTGAGGAAGACTTAAAGTTCAGTCCGTCAGGTTTCCTGTGTGTGTGTTTGAGTGTGAGTGGAGCATTTTTTCCAGAGAGCATCCTTGTGGAGAACCTGGGTAGTCTTCACAGGTCACAGGTTCACCCATGTGTGTTCAGCCGGGTGTCACTAGATTTTTTGGTTCGCAGTATTTTGGAATTTTTGCATCTTTTGCCTTGGACGTTTAATTAAAACTGCAAGATACCACTTCAGCTTCTGTCTCTGCATTTGGGTCCTCCAAAACCTCCATCCAACCTGAAACCGTCACATAAGCATGCATGGATAATCCTTTGAGATGCTGCACAAAGCAAACCCGTTTAGACATGAAAAGTCCCTGAGTGGCAATCTACTGGTTTGATGAAGGCTGATGTGATTGGTTGGAAAAGGCAGAAGCTGCCTATAGTGGCTCAGCTCGCCTTCATTAACATGATAATTAGGCAGTTTTATGTCGGCGCTCTGAATCACATGTATTGTTTGACCTAAATTTGACCTCTTTCAAAAAA